TATCAACAGTCAAAAGGAGATCATTAGACACTTTAAGAAGGGCCGACTCTGTGCTGTGCTGGGCCCTGAATCCCGACTGGAACTTATAAAAAAAACCATTTCCATTTAAATGAGTAGAAAGCGGTTGAAAGACAACCCTCTCTAAAATTTTTGACTGAAAAGGCCATTTTGAAATTGGTCGATAGTTCTTTAAATTAGATGAATCCAAATTGGATTTTTTAAAAAAGAGGTTGCACCACAGCATGCTTAAAGCAAGATGGCACAACACTGCTCAGCAAACTGGAATTCACTATTGTCAAAAGATCTAGACCAACCACGTCCAATACCTGAGTAAGAGACGTGGAGGAACAATGTCCAAAGAACTCTGAGTGGGCTTCATATGGCAGACTAAGTCCACCAAATCAGGTAATGAAATCAGTTTAAACTCATTTAAATAATGTACTAATGAGGGTGGGATGATATAATCAAGGATAGAGTCTGGAGGCAGAATACCAGCTCTAAGAATATCAATTTTGTTAATAAAAAACTCTTCAAACTTTTCACACGTTGTCTGACTAATATCAAGACCAGTAGCTATCTCAGGGTTTAAAACTGAATCAATTGTTTTAAATAACACTTTAGGGTTATTAGGTATCTTTCTTATGAGATCAGATAAATATTTTGTCCTTGCAGCTTTAATTGCCTTCTGATACTTAATCATAGCATCTTTCAATATATCATAAGACACCTGCAGCATATCTTTCTTCCATTTCCTCTCTGCTTTTCTCCACATTTGTCGGAGGCTTCGGGTATCATTATTAAGCCATGGCTGTGGTTTGGCTTTCGGACTTATGATTTTGAAAGGAGCACACAAATCCATAATAACATTACAGGAGGAATTAAATATTGACACTAAATCATTTATACCTGAACCAAAAGACAGAGGCAGAGCTGGAAATAAAGTATAACCCTTTGAAAACTCACTGGCCATTGAAGATTTCAAAGAACGAACATACCGGCCTGGTGGCTTACAATTTAAAAAGGGACTGGAAATTGAAATACTAAAAACAACTGGGTTATGATCGGAAAGACGAGCATCCTCAATATCTACATTCAAAACTGGACCACCCAAGGATAATATCAAATCCAAAGTATGACCAAGATTGTGGGTAGAACCTGAGAAAAATTGTGTGAAATTAAATTAATCAATAAGATGTAGAAACTCCTTCACCATGGGCTCTTTGGGACAGCAGATATGCAAATTAAAATCACCAAGTATTAATATCCTCTCAAAACTCGGTACAATTGCAGTTAGGAACTCAGAAAATTCATGAATAAACAGTTTGTTATATTTTGGGGGTCTATATATAAGTGCACAAACTTTAACTAGCTGCAACTCAAAGCTAGAATAATCATGTACTGCTAATAGACGACATTTTAGAGTATTATTAAATATAGTAGCAACACCCACCCCCCCCACTCTGCCAGATGACCGTGGAGTACTTAAAAAATTAAAGTCACTTGGAGATACTTCAGATTAACAGTCAAAATCACCAACGCTGAGCCAAGTTTCTGTCACAAACAAAAGGTCCTGTTCCCGTGAATAAATAAAGTAATTTAATAAAAAGGTCTTGTTTGAAATGGATCTAGCATTTATTAAAGCCATCTTCAGATTGTTAATTGTAGAGGGATTTGAGAGGGTGTTTGTAGACAGCCTCTGATTTGAAACAAACTCCAGTGCTCTAAGATTATGGATGTTTACTCCACCTCCACAAAACCTCGTGTGAACAGTTCTCCACTGGAATGTTGTTTCTGAATGCTCTGGTAGAATATAGTGAAGAAAAGAAGACCTTACTGCAAGGGAGGGCGAACAGTGGCGTCGACTTGATAATGAACCGCAGCTGACGTTATCCACCGCTGGCAACTGGACATCTGACAAAGACTCCAGCTGATCTTTTAAGTCTCACCAAAACACCACCTCTCTTCCCCCGCTTTCTATGCCATTTCTTCCGATGAAGTAGACAATCAGGTACATCATCTTAGGGCACCCAGGGTTTGCAAAACAATCACCTGTCCTTTCCTGGTCCTCTCCTTCCCAAGTCACCTGAAATTCCGCCATTGGTTGTAAACCCCACCACAATCAAGGGTCTAGTGGATCAACAGGCTGTGGTTATTCTCCCTTGCTACTCCTACTTCCAGGATGTAATGAGCCTCCTATTTACCACTACACAGATCACGGGACTGTGCTATCAACCTCCTACCTGGTGAGCCAGTGCCAATTTACCCATTTTCCCTCCCAGAGCAGAAAGCCATGGAGGAATATGTGGAAGAGATGATCCAGCTCCATCCACATCCCTGCTGCTTCCAGCTTCTTCTTTGTGGTCAAAAGGGATGGAGGCTTACAGCTCTGTATAGATATCCGGTCCTTCAGCAAAATAACTGTAAAGTACCCTTATTCCCTCATACCAGCTGCTTTGGAACTGCTGCAGAGCCAATATTTTCACAAAGCTTGACGTTTGCAGCACTGATAACCTAATCCTAATGGAAAATACCATGACCCAATAAAAACGCAAACATACACATGCAAAATGATAATAATAATAACAATAAATAATAATAACAATCATAATAATAATAAGTACTGCCAAACCTTTGCCTTGAACTCTGTCACTCTGTGGTCATCATCCTCGGCTCTCATCAGATGTGTGTTCAGGAGGCAATGGGGTAAATGGAAACGGACATGTTTTAATCTGTTGACATTATGATGGTTGCACATTTTAAAGTTTCCAGCACTGCCACAATCTCTGCCATCTTGGGGGTTCTGGCATCTTGCAGCTTTGTTACCATTCAGTCAGACAGAACAGCTGTAACAGCCCAAAAAGTCTTCCGAACATGTCATAGAGTTCCATCTTGTTTTACACGACTGAATGAGCTGGTGTTTCAGAAATTGAATTTGTTCTTGTTTAGCTTCTAGTGCCTTGCATGCATGGGTGCTGTGCTTGAAGTGCCGGACAGGCCACCCAGCTGCAATGATAACCCAATTCACAAACACATTAAATCCATCATTTACAGTGAACTGTAGTGTATGAGCAAAACAGGGAATTGAGTCCCAGTTCACCGCTCCTGGATAGTTTGCAGCCACAATGTTGCGTGCATTGTCATGAACATATGCGATACTTTCCCAGTAAGTCCCCAAGTCTCCACTGCATCAATTAGTTTAGTTGTGAGGACTCAGGGCCGTAGCTAGGGTTTGTGGGGCCCCAGTGCAGGTTGTACCAGTGGGCCCTGTTTGAAATTGTTTAATTTGTATGTTCATTCTATTTATTTATTTGTGCTATTTACACAATATTTAAGTTTTTTTCAAGTTTGTAGGTGTCCAGGTACAGAAACCGAATAATCAAATGAAAATAGCACTGCATGGTCTTTTTATTACATATACAGTCATAATAGTCACCACCTTTCACCCCACTAGCGATGGCCCTGTGTGAGTACAGCTGAAATAATTTGCCAGTGCTTAACGATGTAGTGGCACTTTATTTTTATATAGCTGTCCCGAGTGTTGTGAGTGCAGTCAAGCAGTCAGTTTTAAGGGCTGATAACTTTCTGCCATCAAGTTGTGTTTTAAGTGCATCAAAACAGGCTTCAACCTTATGGGTAATAGTACGTATTGAAGGGATTTCGTAATTGGGCTCAATGTAGCTGACAGTCAAACCAAAATGTATTCAGACACCTTCAACATTTCTTACATTATCACAGTTTATTTGTTATAGTTTAGAAAATGGTAATAAAATATGACAAGATCTCAAGAGTTAAACTGTCAGAACAAATTAATCTTGATAATGTCAGATAACTTTGATAGAAAGGTATGTAATCGATTACAATCAACCAAAAATTCAGACAACTGTTAGTATGATGATAGAAAAATCATCCTCATCATCCAAGTTACTCATCTGACACTTGATATAAGCTACTCAAATGAAGCAGACACTAACACGGACATGTTATAATGTGGCATGCCAATATTGCCAAAAACCAAAACTAAGGATGAGAGCACGAGTCGGTTCGGTGTTGCTGTCCGTGAGAGTCTTAAGGGCTGATAACTTTCTGCCATCAAGTTGTGTTTTAAGTGCATCAAAACAGGCTTCAACCTTATGGGTAATAGTACGTATTGAAGGGATTTCGTAATTGGGCTCAATGTAGCTGAATAGCTCTTGAAAACCTTCTCCACTGATGGGCAAAATGTATTTTACTACCATTGAACAGATTCTCTGCGTTATCTCCTTAGATCTTCTCCCTAATAACATGGAGGGCAAAGTTTGTTGTCCTTCATCACACAATGCTTGTCGATGTTTGCTTTGCAAGTGATATTGCAATGTATTTGTACTACTGCTGTATTTATTAATACCACATAGCATATTTTGCAAGTCACTTTGTCACCCTTTCTGTCAAAATGGTCCCACACGGTACTTCTTTTTAATTGCTCAGCGAATTACGTACACGTGGTTGCATGTGTCGACACGCCCCCTTGAGTTAACAAATATGTATAGCATATTTTTCTTTAACCATGCAACAAACAGTCAATATGAGCATCCCAAAGTTGGTTTAATAAACCAGTGGCACATCCACTCAGTAATGCATTACAATAGTCTAGTCACACATAATCACGAATGCGTGAATTTGCTTTTTAGCATGTAAATGCAAGCTGTAAGAGAGTACAGCTTGTCTAATGTTTAAATATATATTTCATGTAATTTCAGTCTCTATATGATTTGAAACAATCATTGATGAGGTGGTGGTGTGTTGTAACCTGTACCTCTTGTATGTATGTATTTATTTATTTACACATTAACCCTGATTTTAAAACTTACCTAACAATGGAGTTGTGTATTATAATGGTTTACAACTGTGAATAAATTCATCGGAAGTGTTATCAGGCATCTTAGTTGTACTTTATTCTCTAATACATAACAGGATTTACTTTGCACAGTCTCACATTTTTCTCTGGCATTGTTGAATTCCAGGTACCATCTCTATCAACACAATTCGCACACCATACCAAGCCCCAGGAAACAGCGAGGTTCTTGACCTGGATGATAGCTTGTATTTAGGAGGACTGCCAGAAAATAAAGCTGATATGGTGTGTCCTACTGAGGTGTGGACTGCTCTGCTCAACTATGGCTATGTAGGCTGCATCCGTGACTTCTTCATCAGTGGTCAGAGCAAAGACATCCGCCGCATAGCTGAGGTGCAGAAAGCCGCAGGTGTAAAGCCCTCCTGCAGTAAAGAGGCTCCTAAGCAGTGTCTCAGTAACCCCTGCCAAAACAATGGAGTCTGCAGGGAAGGGTGGAACCGTTATGTGTGTGACTGCTCCGGGACGGGCAATCTTGGTCGCTCCTGTGAGAGAGGTGAGGCTGACACTTGTTTTAAATGCTTATCACTTCATATTTCTTAAATATTGCAGAAACGTTGTATTATATTGCAGTTTCATTAAGATGGAGGTTTCATGTTTCATTGTTGTAGCTGTTACTTGGGACAGGACGTTTTGTGTGTTCCTGTCTAGTTTTTGATTTTCAGTGTCAGGATCCTGACATCCATGCTCTGTACACTTTAATCTCTCTTTTTTCATTGAAGCCACTCTGTCTATGGGATGACATTAGTCTCAAAATTATTAACATCATTTATAACATTTACATAATTATCCATGTACTTGATACAGGTTTCGCACCACCCACAATCAAATGCCTTTCAACTTAAATCAACTTAAAGTGCGCAGCAGTTTCTACAAATAGAGACATATTAGTGAATACAATTGTTTTCTTTTTTGATAAAAGAATAAAATTTTTTGATAAACATACATGGATCAGCCACAACATTTAAACTACTTACAGATGAAGTGAATAACATTGATTGTATTGTTACAATGGCACCTGTCAAGGGGGTTGATATATTAGGCAGCAAGTGAACAGTCAGTTTCATGTGTTGAAAGCAGGACAAATGGGCAAGCTCCTACACATGAGCGTAGTGAAAGGAGGTTGCCTGGTCTGACAAATCACCTTTTCTTTTAGATCGGGTATGTGTGCATTGTTTGTGTCAGTTTGCATGTTTGCTGAAGAGAGATGCTCATCTCTGACAAGCCATATCTGTGGAGATGGATGTTGCAGTAGCGCTGTGGTATCTGGCTACCAGGAGCTGCTCTAACGTGGACTCAATCCTTTATTTTTGGCAGTTTTGGGAAGAGTAAAATTTACATATGTAACCTCAACAACCAGGTAAATTTACACTTGTCCAGTTGCATCTAAAATGTAGCTCAAACCACCTTCTGAAGTGGTTTGTGTGATCGGATTGCAGTCTGTCTTAAGTGCTTGTTGGAGGGTATTTATACCTCGTCTTTTTGTGATTGGATAACTATCCAATTAAAGAAAATGCATGAAGTGGCCAATTGTAAACAGGCCCAAAGAGTTCAAGGTGTTGCTTTGGCCTTCCAATTGCCCAGATCTTAATCCGATTGAGCATTTATGAGATGTGCTAGACCAACAAATCCAATCCATGGAGGCCCCACCTCACAACTTGCAGGACTTGCTGAGTGTCAGATACCTTAGGACACAAACAGAGGTATTGTGGAGTTCACGCTTTAACACATCAGAGAGGTTTTGGCAGCAAGAGGGGGACCAACATTATATTTGGCAGGTGGTTTTAATGTTGTGGCTGATCAGCGTATGTCCTGAAAACTACTCCTGTTCAACTGATCGCAGCACACCGGGTGTTTATAGGTGTAGGGTAGTCAACCCTGCTCCTGGAACGCTACTGTCCTTCAACTTAAACCCCAATCAAACACACTTGAATCAGGAAGGCAGCTCTTCAGGAGCAGGGTTGGAGATCCCTGGGCTTCGGTTTCACTTCCCATATCAATAAATTAAACAACAAATATTTGTGCTGGCTGTGAATTTCATTTTCACTTACATTGTGGCCTGATGAACTACTTTTTGCTGGAAATGTGTTTATTTATTTTTTTAAAAAGGTGAATTTTTTTATTTTTTTATTGTTAATGACACTGATATAGTATAATCTTTGCCTCTCATCTGCAGATGCCACCATTCTCAGTTACGATGGCAGTAAATTCATGAAGGTCCAGTTATCTGTAGCTATGCATACAGAGGCTGAAGATGTTTCGCTACGGTTCCGCTCCCAGCGGGCATATGGTGTTCTCATGGCAACCACGTCTCGAGACTCCGCAGACACCCTCCGTTTGGAGCTGGATACAAGTCGCGTCCGGCTCATGGTTAATCTAGGTATTGGTGCTAAACACATTCTATCACACACCTGTGACCAAATGTACCCAGACTTGTTCATATCTAGCCAGAAATGAACTTTAAACAAGACCTTTTTTTGCTGTCTGTGCTGTCATGCACTTAAACCTCTCTTCAAAGCACATCACACAGAAAACCACTGTTGTCTTTATGGTGGACATGCTCAGAGGCCTTCAATGCTCGGAGTCTGCAGCTCTCCGTACACACTCAAACACCTCAGCTGTGCTCTCTGTTAAAGGGGAATGCTCTGTGTTGTGTAACAGCCCTCTTTGTTGCCCTTCCCATCTGAAAACCAGCCATTTCTCAAAGCATAAACACTCTGTGCCCTCTCATTTTCACTTTGATTAATACATTCACAGGGGAAAGCTGTGCACTGTAGTTATCCACAGGTTTTTACCATGTCTAACGGCTGATTTATACTGCTGCGTCTGACCTAGACTGTAGCCTCTATGCTGTGAACTACATGGCTGTTTGCGGGCTGGTTTAAGAGGTGCACGTCAGAATACAGAAGGGATGCCCGATCCTGTTCCTGGAGATCAACCTCACTGCAAAATTCAGCTGCAATCCTAATCAAACACACCTGAAACAGTCATTTGCTCAGTGAATTGTCACAGTATTGCGTATTTAAATGCTCCTCTAAAACAGAACTGTGGAAGGTGTCCAAATATATGCAAACACTATACCGTTACTCAGGTTTTTCAAACTTCTTTTTACCTCTGAGCAAAGAATGAAGAAGAACTTCATGTATGCCAGAGCTTTAGAATTTGTATAGTTCAACCAAAAAATCTGTCATAATGTACTCTTTTTTTCTTTTGTGGAACACAAAAGAAGATATTTTGAGAAATACAACAGAAGTCAATGTAAGTCAATTTTTATTTTTATTTAATTAATAAGTGTTACTTTAGTAAGAGCATTTCCTCACATGATGAGCCAGCTCTGGTTTTTGACTGTGTGCAGCCCCTTCTTTGCTGAGGTTGATGGCACACTAGGCTGAGACCCTGCTTCTGGTGAACTTGGATGAAATATATCAATAAATCACTACCTAAAAACAGGCATAGTGATTTCAGTGGAGACTGATTTTCTTGATATTGTATAACTGATAACTGATATCCTTCCGTACCTTTTAATCAAGGAATTTACCTTGTTTCATTTACAAATCTGTCGTAAGTTATCTAAAAATAGCATCATGAAATAATCAAACAGATCCTTAGTAAATGGTTACTAGTTACTAGTTAATATATTATTAATCACTTATTAAATCATTGAAATGTCAACATTGTACTATTATCTTAATAAACATGTGTTAATCATGAACAAATGATGATTAAACCATTAGTAAATGATCAGTATATATAATATAATTCATGTATGTTTGTCATTTATGTTTGTTCATGATTAACAAATGTTTAAGATAATAGTACAATGTTGACATTTCAATGATTTAATAAGTGATTAATAATATATTAACTAGTAACTAGTAACCATTTACTAAGGATCTGTTTGATTATTTCATGATGCTATTTTTAGATAACTTACGACAGATTTGTAAATCCTTAGCATATTACTTAATAATCATTTGTGAACGTATAGTCATGTTTTGTAAATGATTAGTTCATCATTATCTAATCACTTGTAAATTATTTTTAACTTAATCTACAAAACAAAGAAATATATATTAACATATCACTTATTAATCATTTATGAACACATAATCATGATTTGTAAAAGATTAGTTAATCATTAACTAATCACTTATAAATGACTTACAACGGAATGTTATTATAAAGTGTTACCGCCAATAACAAATAAATATGGATTACTAGGCAGTTTACTAGTTATTGTCACAGCCTGACCAATGGTATGATGCTTTGGCATTTCCATTCGTAGTCAAATACGTTTCCATTAGTAATCAAATATGTTTTGTAAATGATTAGTTCATCATTATCTAATCACTTGTAAATTATTTTTAACTTAATCTACAAAACAAAGAAAAAAATATTAACATATCACTTATTAATCATTTATGAACACATAATCATGATTTGTAAAAGATTAGTTAATCATTAACTAATCACTTATAAATTACTTACAACTGAATGTTATTATAAAGTGTTACCGCCAATAACAAATAAATATGGATTACTAGGCAGTTTACTAGTTATTGTCACAGCCTGACCAATGGTATGATGCTTTGGCATTTCCATTCGTAGTCAAATACGTTTCCATTAGTAATCAAATCTATACATACACTGAACAAAATTATAAACGCAACACTTTTGTTTTTGCCCCATTTTTCATGAGCTGAACTCAAAGATCTAAGACTTTTTCTATGTACACAAAAGGCCTATTTCTCTCAAATATTGTTCACAAATCTGTCTAAATCTGTGTTAGTGAGCACTTCTCCTTTGCCGAGATAATCCATCCACCTCACAGGTGTGGCATATCAAGATGCTGATTAGACAGCATGATTATTGCACAGGTGTGCTTTAGTTACATGTTCCTGATGGTATTTTGAATGTTTCATAAGTGCATGTTATTTCAATGAATGTGCGCAGCCAGAATGAGTCATGATTAATGATGGAAGAAAAGAGTGACACACTGCAAAAACAATTTAATGCCTGTGCGTGTGCGTGTGTGTGTACATTATATATACACTGAACAACAAAATTATAAACGCAACACTTGTTTTTGCCCCCATTTTTCATGAGCTGAACTCAAAGATCTAAGACTTTTTCTATGTACACAAAAGGCCTATTTCTCTCAAATATTGTTCACTAATCTGTCTAAATCTGTGTTAGTGAGCACTTCTCCTTTGCCGAGATAATCCATCCACCTCACAGGTGTGGCATATCAAGATGCTGATTAGACAGCATTATTATTGCACAGGTGTGCCTTAGGCTCACATTTTAGAGTGGCCTTTTATTGTGGCCAGCTTAAGGCACACCTGTGCAATAATCATGTTGTCTAATCAGCATCTTGATATGCCTCACCTGTGAGGTGGATGGATTATCTTGGCAAAGGAGAAGTGCTCACTAACACAGATTTAGACAGATTTGTGAACAATATTTGAGAGAAATATGCCTTTTGTGTACATAGAAAAAGTCTTAGATCTTTGAGTTCAGCTCATGAAAAATGGGGGCAAAAACAAAAGTGTTGCGTTTATAATTTTGTTCAGTGTATATAGATAAACTGAGTTTTTTGAGGGCTAAAACCCTTTCACTGACCATTTGATGAAAGTAAAAGAAAAGGTCTTCTAGACCCTATTTTTACTCTTATTTGTGGAAAGTGCCACTTAAATGCTGCCTAATTGGCTTAAAAAATATAGGCGTAATATTTGTACAATATTCCCAGAAAGAGTTCAGATTCACAGCAGGACATTTGGGTGAATGCGATGGCATGCACGAGCATCAGGATCATTGGTGTTCTTGTGTGTCTGTCCCCAGAGAAGTGGGTTATGTGCTTCAATATCTGCAGATGTTACTTTGAAGGCTAAATTTACATGTCATTTATTCTTCCCCATCTAGACTGTGACAGGATAAACTGTACCACGAGTAAGTGACACTTTCTCTTCTTTCATACCTTCCATTTACTATTGTTAAATGTTTGCTACCTGTGCTTTTTAATTAATAATTTAATTTAAGGTTCTTTGAGGTTCACTTATAATGTTAGTAATGTTTTAAGCAAAAAAAAAACATGATCATTTTCCCTTTTGTTGGAAAAGCTTTGTTTTGGTGCAGTGTCACAGCCAGTGTTATGGTGTCTGACATCTCACCTCACTGCTCACCTCCGCTGAGCAGGTTATGGAAGGATTAAGGAGCTATGCTATTGTGGAGGTGTTCTGATACAAATGTCTACCACAATGTGGAGAAAGTAGATACGTCATTATGGTAATAAAATGCTTTTATTGTGAGGAGGAGGAATGTTTGAGCTCTGAAACTTACACTGCAAGTATTTTTATAGTACAGCAGTCTCTTGTATGTCAAAAGATCCAAGAAAATTTGATCGCTAATGTCATAAGGCCAATTAAACATCTGCAAGTGGCAAATGCACTGTAATTGTGAAGAATGCCAAAGTGATAAATCAAGGTGGTGGTTCCGCAGGAAATTAATTTTTTTAATGAATATTTACAGTCCATTCAGGCAGACTTTGCTTTAGTGTAAAAAAAAAAGATTTAGTCGTACATGAGCACATGTGATGGTACTCTCTCTAAATTTGTCCCTCTCCTATCTATATTTCGACATAGGCTTATTGGAAAAATTTAGCTTTACCTACATTTGCAAAATTCAAAACACATACCTACACATACAGGTTACTGTGGTTTCCAGATGAAATGAACAGTGGTGCAGTAAAACAGACAACCTTTATTCTTTTTACACAAAATATGATTACAGGAGCAGATTATAAATCATTACACAAAATATTTTCAAGTAGTTCCTTGTAAAATGCTATGATTTATGATGTTATGTTATGATATATGATTTTTAAACAAATACAACCCTGCCTATATGTCTCCCTTATGTTACACACTGTCTTAAAAAGATCTCTCTTAACGAGCTGATGATCTGAATCAAGAATGTGAACTAAGGCAAACAAATAAGAAATACAAGATATGCAGGTCGGTGGGTCCCCAGGACCGCAGTTGAGAACCACTGCTATAGAGGACCTTAATGAGGGCCCGTCTTCACAGGATCTGGGAAATTCTTAGTTGTTAGCACAGTAACAAGACTAGCAGATTTTTAACTCAGAAATTAATTCAGGAGAGCACAAATCTCTTATATCACTTACAGCTGCATGTCCTCATAATGTAGGGGTAGAAATCTAAAACCTGAACACATCTTACATTAGCACATTTAGTCTCATAATGTAGGTCAAACTGGTAGTCATACACACAGGTTAGTAAATAGAGAATGGTGAATGAAATCCTTGCAATTTATTGGACTATAACCTGAATTAACCATCAATCAGTAATTGTGCAATCATATTGTTCATTGAATGGGGATTGTCTGGTTGTGTGCGATCTCAGATCTGGTTGAGTCTGGAGTGATGTTTTGAGAAGCCAGTCAAGGATGGTAACTTGAGTGATGAGTTGACTTGGTGGCATCTACTGATTTGTTTGTTCAGACATTCTGATTAACGGAATCCCAACAAGGTTTTAATCAGTCAAACATCATCTTAAAGGGGACATAACACACACAGTTTCACCCAATCTCATGTTAATCTTGAGTACCTATAGAGTAGTACTGCATCCTTCATATCTCCAAAAAGTCTTTAGTTTTATCATATTTATAAAATAAATATACAGCTTTACGATTCTCTCTGGAAAAAGC